AATTAGAGAAAGTTGAGATCCATGATCGACGGGATCATCATTCGCTAATTGTAATTGGCGCAGTATTAATGCGTCATGACTAGACTATCACTAACAACGTCGATCATTAATTACGGCCTCAGCGTATTCGAATTTTTCAATATCTTCAAAAGTGATTTCACGAAAGGTGTTTCAAGAGAGAATCACGTCGATTTCATCAAATAGCCGTTTTTTCACTTGGGAATATTCACATAAGAAATATATGATGAAACCTATTGAATTTGACGTCATAATTTCGTACCATCTCGGTTTCATCAATAAAGACTTCAACCAGACAGATTCGATCAAATCACATCATCGGTTACATCAACATTTTCCTCGGAATGTTGTCGTTGCTCAATATTTCTGTCAACATCATCTTTATTTTTAATATTCGAATACTTCAAAAGAAATAAAGACATTATATCTCGCCTATCCTCTTGAATATTTTTTCCATTTTTTCTATTCTTTATTTCCAACAGAATTTCTTCGCGACTTAATTTAATATATTTCTCTATACTATTGTTTAACGACTTTAATTAATAATTATTGTAGTAAAAATGAAATGTATGTCGTAACCAAGGCAGATGTTTGATGAATGCTATCGCTTTAAAAAATGATTTGACCTGTCTAATAAGTCCTTCATATTCACTTGAACTAGTATTTTCGTCCTTTTCGATTGTATCATCACTTTTGGGAAAATTGTTATAAAAGGATTTTAACGAATAAGGAGGTCTGCACAATGACGAAATAATAACCAAATCCAAGGAAAACCTAAGAAAGATTTGATTGTCAATTTTATGTTATTTAATTTTTTTTACAAAAAATTAATTGAATTAATTATAAAATTTATAACTTTTTAGAAAAATTCGGAATTTATCGGTTTTAGGATGAATTCGGATGATTAAAATTCCGGATGACGTTTATTACCATAGGGTAGACTATCGTTGCTCTATTTTTTACAATTTTATTTTATTTATTTTCGCAAAATAAAAATTATCGTCTTATTAAACTATTATTGAATCGACGGACGAAGCAAACGAACCCCAAAAAGAGTAGCTTAAAAAATATTTTATTTTGTGATAAGTTAGTTATTCCAATGATATACTTATCCATATTTTGTTAATATAGTTTCTTTTAAAATTAAAATAACCATGATCATAGAAATAATTTGAGTAAAAGATTATTTTAGTAAGAGAATATGAATGAATAAAAAAATTATTTTGCCAATCGTTCAGGGGAAAAAAAAAATATCGATCATTATTACATTTTTTTTTACTTATAAAAGAATACGCATGCTGTTAAGGTAATCAATGGAGATGGTCATATTTAATAAAATTATTCATAACAATTTTGAATATATTCGTCAATATGCTAGGCAACTTATTAATATATTTAAAGTCACTTATTCAAAATAAGTGAAATTGTAACAATAATAATGGAAAGCTTAGCCAATCAAAAGCAAACATAAATAAAATTTCGGTTCAGTGTTTATTGTTTCTTTGAAAAAGTATCTAATTGGGAGTATTCTTATGCAATCAATTTCTTGAATTCCGAGTACATTGAAATCAGTTCCGTTTATAAATAATCTTTTATTCCAAATCAACATTTCTTTTAACAATATAATATGGGTGATCGGCTATAAAAAGGTTCATATGATTTAACTATCGACAACCATTTAAATTTCGGGTAATCTTACATCCGATTACATTTTGAGATTATGATTGGTCTTGTACTTCACATGGTGTCAATTTTTATTTTAACAATAATATTTATATTATGGAGACATCTTTATAAAGAATTATTTTAAAAAGCCTAGCCTAGTTTAATCCTGGATATGATATATATTTATCCTAAATTGAACTGGGATGAAAAACAGTTTCACACTGGACGATCATAATTTCTTTACACCAAATGAGATTATTTATAATTCGTTAAACTTTTTACAATGATGATATCATCCACCTATATTTCCAATATAATTATTGTAAGCACAATGCTTGAAAGATAAATATTTAGAATTGACGTTGATAATTTATGATTATTTCATTTTCTTTTATAAATAATATTTAAAAGTTTGTACCCGCATTTTTACTATTTTAATTGCAATATCGTTCCAGGGGTAAATTTTTTTTTTCACGAACTAAATTAAATTATTTAATCGACGCAACGATAGAACCCAAAAAGAAATAATTCTTATTTATTAATATCGCATTTTATAAATATATTTAAATTTAATGAGCACAATAACAAACAAGTATATAAATGTGTTAATGAGAATTATAAAAGTTTATTATCAGAATGAAAGTCGTTTGTTAATGTAACATAAATAACTTAATGAGATTAGAAAATCTAGTGCAATAATTCTATACAACAAGTGGGTCAGTGGGTCGATGACATTTACGTTATACATTAATAATTTTGTAACTTTATTATTGTATAAAAACTATATTAAAGGCGTTTTATTCTGAATAACTAAGTGGTAATTAAATATATCAAATGAATTCAGTATGGTAATTAAATTCTATCAATAACAAATTAAATTACTATTTTTTGTTTCAACACAAATAATTGTGATAAAATATAAAAAATAAAAATAAAAAAATATAATGAAATCAAATTTATAGAGGAAGTGGAATCGAAGCATACGAAGCACCATTAGGGGGTAAATCACCAACTGTGGCAATTGCGCAGCCTAGAATTGTTTGAGGTGGTTCTACAATACCAACTACAATCATGTATGGGCTAGGTAAGTCTGGTGTCGGAATATCCGCGCTAATAGAGAATGGGGATTTAGCTTTAATTGGACATCCAGCATCTTGACAAACCGGCCCTGTATAGGGATCGCCTACGATTTGTTTAGCTACAGGATCGCCATAAGCAACAACAAGTTGGGTTGTTTCTGTGATATCTGCATCTAAAGTTCCGGAAACAGTATAATTATCGGGTTTTCCGTTGACGACAGGATCAGGATTAAGTATTACGGAGAGCAAGGGTGGTGATGTAGTAGACCCTTCAGGTGGAGAGCATTGTGTAAAGGAAGTAGTTCTCTTTTGAAGTTGACGTGGAAATGCATTTGTCAAGGAAAGCGTAGCCAATAAAATGAATACAAAAATAAAATTACGATTCATGATTATCGTTATTATTTCTTTGCAAAAATATATAATTGTAAGATTTATTTGTGTATGTAATTAATTTCTTGAATTTGGAGTATATTGAAATCAGTGTCTTTTATAAAGAAAAAATATTGCTATTCCGAATCAATAATTCTTTTTGAATCTCCTAATTTTTATTTGGAACACATTTTGAAATTTAATATGATCCATGTTCGTGAAAGTACTATGACTTTCAAAATGAATTTCAAATTGATTAGCAATGGGGTGGGGAAGTATTGTAATTTCTATAAAAAAAATACCTTAATAATAATTAAAATCAAGTGATCGACAACATGGAAGAAAATAAGTGTTTTATAGAAGATCGTACCGGATCTATTATAGTAATAATTTTAAAATCTGATGATCTCTTTTTTTCTACAATGAAATATAACGTGTGTACCGGATGTTCAAAAATATAAGCTCTGAAAAAAAAGCATAACGATAATGCACGCATGTAAATCCAAAAAGAAAATAAATAAAATGACCATATTTAAATTGAAGATTTGCATTCGATAGCCAATCTATCTATATAACTATATAACTAAAAAAAAAAGTGTAACGTTTAGATTATTATCCAATATAAATAAATTGAATTGTGTAACATGTATCA